AGAGCATTCATGTAGCTGCCCTGAAGTCATGCTGCTATTGCTGCGACCACACTGGGCTGTGGCTCCAGGTCAGCCTGGGTCTGCTATCTCTGCTGTGGATGACAGCGTCTCCCCGCTCCTCCACTTAAATACCACACGGTCCCTATATGGCTCTTTTGGTTTCAGGCAGTATCACATCTGAGTCACACTTGGCTAGTTTGTAGTCATAAAATGATATGAGTGATCACTCTTACATCACAGCGGCAAGCAGTCCCTTTGGTTGGGCATTTATAGACTCTTGAATCATTGAGGCAGATTTTAGAACGTAAATAAAGAATAGACCAAGAAGACTTGGCCTATCGAGGGTGTCCATAAACTGTGCCACCAGCAAGTGTCCTCAGATCCCAGGGAAATGGAGGAAGAGTATGTGGGTTGCTTAATTACTCTGCTTTTGTGGCTGAGCCCGGGGTGTCAGGAGCAGGTGGGCTTCTCAGCTACTTAGAAGTTGCCTGATGCTTCCTGTGTGGGATGCCACCTGTGCAGTTCTGTTTTAAAATGATGGGTACCGGCATCTGTATACATAATTTAAAGTAAATTTACATTCTTATTCTGCCTGAGACAAGGAGATTGTGTACTGGTGTGATTAGAGAGAAGAGTGAGGATTTGGGGAAGGGTTGAGAGAAGCATCTGATAGCATTTTAAGATTCAAAGCTCTTGGTATGAAGTTCTTCCAGTTAAACAAAGCTGAGTGGATAGATGGATAGATGGCTCTATCTAGATGGCAAAGAAGAAGTGAGGGGCATATGCAAGGTTAACAGTTTATTTTGGAGTTGGGGGGATTGTAGATGCTTTTTGTCCATATTCACCTGCCTTTTCTAAAATTTTCTGTAATTAATGAAAGTGTGAAGTAGAAAGTGGCCTTAAATAACCCTGCAAGGGGAAAGTCATAGACTGTATGTTAGTTGTTATCGTTCTTCATTTTACACACGCACACGCACACGCACACGCATTTCCATTTCTTCCACTATATACATAGAAATACAAATACAGAAATACATGTAGCAATAGATACATATATATTCTATATATGCACTGTATATATTCTGTATATGTATCTATTTCTCTGTGTAGTTTTGAGGACATGGAGGCTTATGCCTTCTGAAGCTGGGCATGACCACATAACTTGCTCTGCCACACAATGTGAGCAGAAGTGACATCTATACTGCGGGGGGGAGGCCTTCAGATCTGTCCTCTGTGCAGTTTGTCACATTCTCCTCCCCACACAGTAGAGGCGAGTGATGTGACAGAAGGTAGAGGCCCTATCTGCCTGGGCCCCTGGCTAACCAGAATGAACATGGTTTTACTGACCTGGGATCAGTGTGTGTGAGTAGTGATCCTTGACTGTTTTACGACACCGAGGTTTGGGAGCTGTTCGGTGAGGACACTGAAACACCTTCTCCTGGTCGGTAGGGAGGCAGTCGTGTGAGCCGTACTAAGGAAGCTGGACCATAGCTTATTGGCTGTTCTAATGTACTAAGGGGTTTTAAGCGAGGACTTTGTTTATGTGTTTGATTTGCCAAAGAGCAAACCCAGCCCAGAGAAAGCCTGGACTTCTTATGTTCTAGATGGCAAATGCTAATTTAACACCTCTAATTAAAAAACCCACCAGTTCTGTAGTGGTGGTGGAACAGTCTGCATCTTAAATGTGGTGATTGTTAGAGGAATCTATGCAGAGTAAATTGTCATTTACTCTGTGGAATTGTACACAAAGATAGTCCAAACGCAAGACTCTGAGTGCATCCCCAAACTGGTCAAGCCCAGGCAATGTCTGTGGTCTCATGGGCTGTGTTTGCACCACTGTGGGTTTTCTGCTTCTGATAATGTGCTGTAGACATGGGTAAGATGTCACCATCGGCAGTGCTGGGAGGTGGGGGACTCTCGGTGCTGTTTTTGCCACTTCTTGTGGGTCTATAACTGGTTCCAAATCAAAGTTAACAGTAACAACAGAAAGTTCGTGAGTTACACTGGAGAGGTGCATTGTGGTCAGTCCTGGATTCCTGGCCAGACATGGCAGGAAAGCTCACACTGGTGGACGGAGCCTCTGGCCCCCACCCAGCAGACGGCAGTTCGTGGGTGTTGCCTGCAGTGCCGGGGCCGTGGGCTCCTGTTTTGAATGCTTCCCATGATAAACATGTCTATCATGTTGCTAGGTTTGTGAGACAGTCAGAAGAGCAGCCCTCCCCAACACACACACACTGATTCTGAAAGCTGTGTGTTTTTTCTTCCCTGAACTGACTAGATTGCACATAGTTTCTCTGCATTTCACAGGGTCAATAGCAGAAATAGGAAACCTGGTGCTGGGGGCAGGGGAATTACCTGAGTAATAGTGTGTGGACTTGAATCACTGTCCCCAGGAGCCTAGTAACCCACAGCCTGTGGATTAGTCTGTTGAACTACTCGGTGGCTTGTGACCCCTTGTTCCCTCTGGATGTGTATGTTCTGATTTTGTACTTCTTGGTAGTGGCAGCTCTGTACTTTATTTTAAAGTGAAGGGGGAGGACCAAAAGACAACTTACCTGTTGTAAGTTACACATACAGAAGGATGTACTGGCCCACTTGGCTGAGCCATCATTTTCTTTGAGAGATTGCTTTGGGGTCACCATCTGGGACTGTTCTCCCTGTTTGATGAGGGAAATATGTATAAGCCTTTTTATGATACGTAGCCTGCATATCCCATGGGGTTTCCCTAAGGGGCTTGGCTGAGAGGAACGGTGTCTTTCCCACTGCTTCCCCAGCAGTTTTCCTCTTGTGATAGATTCAAAGTTCTGTAAGATCCTCTGTGTGGCAGTGAGCATCTTGCTCTAAGTGAAGTAAGGCTGGGGCCAGAGGTCGTAGTATGAGGGTGAAAGGCCACTTTATTTGCTAACTCTTAATGTCAGATGGAGTAAGAATCTGTGGGGAATAAAAATTAGCCGTTGACAGACTCAGTACTCTGAAGAGATTTTATTCATCGGACGGTCATCAGCCACGCAGACAGGGAGTAAGTAGGGTTTTTCTCCTGGTCTGGAGGCCCAAGCTGTCTACATGGTACAACCTCAGTCAAGTGCGTTCATCTCTGCCGTTGGTGGTGTCTTTCTCTATCAGACAAAGGGTGTGGCCTCACGTCACTGTGGATCCTCCAGCTCTACTATTCTCTGGTCTTGGGAAGCTCCTAACAAAACCCGTGTGGTGATATTTTCCCCTCTTCCTGGTTCAGGTTAAATGTTTCTGCTCCTCCTCCTGAAATCAGCATGCTTGTGCACCTGCCACTGTTACCTGAGGAAATTCAGTCTACATTGGTCAACTTGCCTTCACCACCTATATGCCTGTTGGGATTGGGGTCGTCCTTTTATCACCTTACATCTCTTTCCCTAAACCTTGGCTCTGTTAGGAGACATGCCCTGGATCGTCTTCTAACAGCAAGCTGGTCTGACGCAGTCTTCGTTAATACCGTTCCATCCCCCACGCTGCTCTGTAGCCCACACAAACCACTGTTTGTTGTAGACCTGAAGGAATCTGGCACACGAGATACCGTATCTACTTCTTGTTAAGTTTGTTAAATGCCTTCTCTCTTGCAGGCTGGGTGTAAGGTGCTATCCACTCACTCTCACAAGTCTATGAGGAGATAATTAATATTTTGCTTTTATACATGAGGGAACCGAGGCTCAGCTATGTTAAATGGCCCAAAGTCATTTGGCCTCCCAGCTGCCACTGCCTGATGTTTGTTGTTCAAGGCTGGGGACCCGGGTTCAGCCCAGCACGGAGGCAGCCAAGACAAAGTGCTGTGATGTACTAAGCATCTCAGCACAGTTTGTATCTCTCCCCGAATAAGACAACTGAGGTGGAGGAAGTGCCCGCAGTGCCGCTGGCATCCCCCTTCGTAGTGCTTGTCTCCTTGGTCCCACCATAGCATCACAGTCCGGATGAGAATTCCCAGCCTTGCCATTTGTTCTCTGGGAATTAGCTTATCTGGACAGGCAGGTGGCCCTGGCGTTCTTGGCTGTTTGTGCTTTGGAGGACAGAGGTCTCAGAAGGGATAGTATTTAACTGTGTACCGTGCAGGCCAGCCAGGCTTAAAAATTGGGAGTGCTCCATAAACATGGGGCGAGTCTGAAAGGCAGCCCTCATCTTATCAGAATTATGCTAGGACACTGCCCAGTGGAACATGATTTGTTCAAACCCTGATGCCCTTGGCCTTCTGGCTTCTGTCAAGGAGGGAACATGGGCTTTGAAGTCAGACTGACTGGGGTGAATCTTTGCCCCCAACCCTTCTTAGCTCTGGGATCTCTTACAAGAGGCCACATGTAAAATAGGGGAAGTAGAACCCATTGAGTTGCTGTGGGGATGAAACGAGGTGGTGCATGGTCAGCCCCGAACAGACAGTAGTCATTCTTACCATCCACGTGTGCTCCACCCATCTGTAGGGTTTTCCGGGTTGTGAAACCAGAGGTCTCTCTGGGATCTAGGTCACTCAGGGTCCATTGGAATCGATGAGTTTTGCCTGCTTTTGTACTTTTCTCTAAATGATTCATCTTTAATTTTTGACACAGGCTCAATGGAATTATTTCAGAACCTGGATGGATCTGAAATCTTTTGAGATAAAAATATCATCCGCTGAATTCTTGCACAGACCAGGCTTTGTCCTGGTGTTCCCCTATTTTTATGGGTTTTTTTTTTTTTTTTAGGTTGCAGATTGAGAGGAGATGCGTGAGCCTGAAGACCCTTTGGAGGCTCCTCTGTGTGCTGAGTGAAATAGCACAATCCCCAGCCTGCGGTTTTAGCAGATTCCCAGCCTCACATCCTCCCAAACTTGGCAGTAAAAGCCCTGTTCTTCCATTCATTCCGATGATTTATATTCTCTCTGGGCGTCTAATATTAAACAGGGGAATTCCGACATGTTCCATAACACATTTACTGTAACTTGATACCATGAACTAAACTTGCTGTTATTTATCATTTCTTTTTATTTTCTCTCATTCCAGCACAAAGCCAAGGTAGAAGCAATGACCCTGGACCTTGCTCTGCTCCGTAGCGTGCAGCATTTTGCTCAAGCGTTCAAGGCCAAGAATCTGTGAGTGTTCCAGTGGAGGGTTATAGATCATAATATCTTGCTATTGTAATGTCTTTATCAGATGAACACAATTGGGAGAACACAAATGTGAGGCTGTTATGTTGTCCTGGCGTCCAAACAGCAGGCTCATTTATATTGGCCCTGTTAAGGTGTACCATATTTTCTTGACTTCTTGAGTCACCCTCATTATGAGACATGTCATCAATCTAATAACAGCTCCCCCAATAAAAAAGGAGAGATACTATTCGTGCACTAGTAAAAGTGGCTAATAAAAACCAGCCGATTGTAGGACGCATCTTGATTACCGACATTTTTGCAGTGCATCTCAGAGTCAAGAAAAAGCACATTTTCATTCATCCGGGAATGAGTAGCCTTATTTATCCAGTCCTCCAAGGGGGCCAAGAATCAGAGCCTGAGACAGTTCTACCATTTCCACGTCTGTGATGATTTTATCTGGTGTGTGAACATGGCTCCAAAAGATGGACTCAAGTTGTGGGAAAGTTACTCTTCTTTCCTTCTTTTTTAGTCTTTCCAAATGTCCAAAGGAGGATGCCTTCACTAGGGGCTGGCACATGTTTATGCTGTCACATGCCTACCTCCCTTTGTAACGGGGAGAGAGAGAGAGCGAGAGCGAGCCAGCAGAGCTCCGACCCGGAGCTGGGGAAAAGCAGTGGTGGCCAGCTCCGTTTTAATGACAATGTTTTGTTTCCAAGTGTTTATTTTTATGGTTCCCTCATATTGAGGGCAAGCAATACTGGTTTCTCATTTAACATAGCAGTTTGAATTTCATTTAAAAAAAAAAAACTGCATTTAATTTTTTTTCAGTGAATTGATTTAAACACGAGGATTAAGTTAATAACAGTACAGGTGGTGCCAAGAATAAGATGGTTCCAGAAGTGGCACCAGGATGACTGAATTTGGGAGAATGCTGATAAATGACAAGTTGTCTTTGGGTTAGGCTGTGTTGGGAGTGTTGGTTTTATAGTTCTCCCAGCAGATGACAGACGTATGGGGAGGCATTTCAGCCAGATAGTCAGAAGGCACTGTAGAGATCTGAGCTCGCCAATGTTGGCTGGTGGCCAGTCGCTCTTGAGTCTGCCTCACCGTCTCACTCTGCTCTTTTATACGGCGAGGAAGTTTGTTCTCTAAAGCCTTTTAGCAAGTGGTCTGAGTCCTTGAGGTTGAAATACAAAGTCAGAGTCTTGAGTGGACTTGCATGGTCCCTGTAAATGCAGGCCCTGCACTCAGCGAACAGTCGGTCACGTCCCCAGTGAGCCAGCAGACCCGGGCGAGCCCGCTGTGTGTGCTCTCCGCAGTGTCCGCCAGTCGGCGGCTGCCAGCCTGCTCCGGAGCTCCCAGACAAGGTCAGGTCAGGGTGCAGTGGTGGCGACGAAGACATGTGCTTGCGTGTAACTGCATCACTTGCTCATTCGCTTCGCACACACTGAGTGCCTCTAGAGCCCCAGCCACTCTTCTGGGCTCTGGGAAGAGAGTGCTGGTCCCTGAAAGCCCACTTCCCCTCAGACAAGAAGCTGTAAGCTCAGGGGCCAGCAAGCAGTTTTATTGCTCAGGGCTGACTCCTCAAACTACTGCTTTTGGGGTTGTTTGGAAAAATAGTAGTAAAGCAGCAATGAGCGGTAGCAGTTCATGTATCCAGGGCTGTTATGGGCCACACACTGAGAATCCTTTGCGCACATTTTCTGATTTGCTGCTATTTCTTATTCTGTTATACAGATGAGGAGAGCAAGACTAGAAGGGGAAGGTGGGTTATCTGAGGGCCCACAGCTGGGAAGCAGGCACCTCCCACCCCCAGCCCCGAGAGCCTCTGCAGCAGTCTCTCCGGGCCTCCTGCTCACCCACCGTGCAGCCCTGTCTCTAACTAGAAATGCAGTGGAAACCGAGATCAGAGGCAGTGAGTGACTCTCGCAGGGTCACGTGGCAGACTGGGAGCAGGCATGGGACTTCCCTCCAGTTCTGACTGTCACGCAGTCCCTGCCACGGTGCGGCCTCTCTGTGCTCCCTCCAGTCCCTGGATCAGGCCGCGCTGGGAGCAGCAGGCGCGCCAGCAGTTACATAACAGGACTGTCTTCCAAGTCGTAGCAAGACCGTTAGTTCAAGCAGTTCAGAAATCATCAAATTCAACTGCCTTTTGTAATCACCAACCTCAAACTCTTGGATAAAGCGATCACCCATTTTGCTCTAATCCTAGATTTTAGCAAATGACTGAATTTTTGTACTTGTAGGTTCAGAAACGAAGGCGATTTTCCTTTTAGCAAAATCCTGTACCACAAACCTCTTTTTATATGTCTCTCGAGATCCAGCCTTTTACACGGCTTAGAGAAATATTGTGGTGGCGAAAATATGCATAAAAAAGTGAGTAATTTTACTTTTGAAATACTGCCCAAGTGAAATCTCTCCTGGATAGGCAGATGACAGTTTAGTACTTACGGGCCTTCAGATTCTGAGCACTGTCAGAAGTGAACACAAGTGCAGGCGGCTGGGCTGCCAAAAACCACGTGTAGCCTCCTGCTTCTCATCACCTCCCATCTTCAGACATGGAAATTTCCTTGTGTGTAAAACATAATGACAAATGAAAGAAGGCCTGCCAGTTCAGAACCGATCTCCTTTTGTGCTGTTGGACTGAGGAGAGGAAAAACCTCGCATTGAAATTCCATGTGGACGGCCCTGTTTACTACTCCGTTTGAGAGCCTGCGAGCCCGCCAGAAGTATTGCTGGCCGCCTCTCTCCGTGTGTATTCCCCCTGGTTCGTGCTCTAGCCCTCGTGCACCTCTCTGCACCGGGAGAGGCGGCGTGTTGTGTAGACTGACACATGGAAAGGTAGAAACAGATGCTAGATGCAAACCCCGCTGGAGGGGGCAGCCTGTCCTAGAGCCCCACTCCATCTGCCTTCTACCCGGAGGAGATGTGCAGTCAGCCCACTCCGGGATGTTGTCTTTTTTCCGGGCAGAGGGGAGAGGTGGAGGGCGGGAGGCTATTTCAGAATGAGCACCACTAATAACGGTCAAACAAAATAATAGCTGCTAGCCAGCTCGCTGTTTCTTCTCTGCGAGGCGAGGTGCTGAGCACTTGCACGTGAATTCTCTCTTTCATTTCTTATAGCCACTCTAGGCATTACCAACTGAAAGGCTCAGCCTTTCACAGAGAGGCTAAATCGCTTTTCCAACTTTAGCCAATGGTGTATCTGGCAGTTTGAACAAAGTTTGTCTGAATCTAGAACAGCTCTTCTTGCTGTATTTCATTCTTCAGTCCCATGTTTCAGCGCGATTCCTGTACTGGGATGTGCCTGAGCAAGACGTTACTCCACAGTTTCGCAGCTTAACACCGTTACAAACAGGAAACCTGCCCATGCTCTCTTTCAGTTAGTTTAAATCAATTGCTTGTTCAGATGCAATGAATAGACTTTAATCTGTAGCTTTCCCCTCTTTTTTTTTAAGTTAATGCAGCTTGTTGAAGTGATAAGGTTGCCCTCGAGAGTTTTCTGTATCCTATACTTGAGGAACTGCATCCCGATGGTGCCATTGAACGTGTTCTTTTGTCTCCTGAATTTCTCAGGAAGTGTAGCTAACTCTAGAGCTTGGTCCAATGCCCATTTAATTCTTGGGCAAGAGTGCTGCGCAGGTGGTGGGGTAGTCTACCATCGAGAAGACGTACACAGCCGCTTGCCGACGCCAGCTTTGCTGGGCATGGCACACTCTGACCACTCCATTCCTCTCCCACCTCTATGTGCATTCATTCATTCCGCTCTCCACTCACTCTTCCGGGTGGTCAGGCCAGGAATCTCTGCCTGCTTCCAGACGGTTCTCCCCATAGTTAGTGGTGATAGTGGTCGGCCAGTGTGTCTCAGGTTGAATTATGTTGTGCATTACTGGAAAGTTCCAAGCCCGAGCCTGTTGTAAGTCCCAACCAAACTGAATTTTGAAGGAAATTTTCTTTAAACTGCAATCCTGGACAACAGCCAGACTCCACACTGGCTGGCAGGCGGAGGCATCCATTAGAGTATGAAGAGCTGGGACCTTTACTAGTCATGCAGACCAAATACTGGCATTTTCTGAATTGGGCTCTGCAACCATAGTCCATTGTTTGGGGCACTTTTGTACATTTTCATTCCTGGTTTCTAGCTGCTTAGCTCCCTGAAAAGTGCATATTTTGAACAGAGCGTGGAACAGTTTGACAGCTACTAGAACTAGAAGCTCTGTAGATACTTTGCCTTTTTTAGAAGATATAATGTTTGAGTTCTGGGTACTCCTGAAATAATGGACACCTGGATTCCAATCCTGGAGTTTTGAAAACTGGTAATGGCACATAATACAGGAAGTTCTTGGCTTGGATCCCAGGTACCAATCAGCTCTTACAGTGTTGACCAAGTGTTTTGATCTCTTCTGAAAATTAATTGAAATCAATAGTCAGTTCATATTAAAATAATATATACAATTCTGATGGTTTCTAGAACTTCCTTTTTGGTCATGGATTTCTACTTTACCTTCTCAACTTTCTGTCTCCAGTATAATTTAAGGAAATTAGACTTTGTTTCATTTAGAAAATAATATAGAATAGTGATGTTTTTAAAAAAACTGCTAAGAGAACAGTTTTCTTTATTTTTTAAACATTTGAGGGGGACAATCTTTAACAAAGTTATTTATTTTTACTCTTTACTAAATTATTTTCAGAACTTGAATCTACTGAACCCAGATATAATATTCTTGGATCCTTATTCCAAATTTTGCTGTCTCAAATCCTTGTATGGAAGTGGGTGGGCCATAAATTATAAATAAATTCTACATTTTGAGGGATAAATTACCCTGAAGACCGATGTGTAAATTACGGCTTAATCTTTCTTTTTCTTCTCAGCTCAATTTTAAGAATAATGTTTTAGCCAACATATCTGCATTCCTCTTTGCTCGACACGAGAAATCCATTTCTGGTTTGCCTAGCAAAGGATCATATTGCTTTGCTTTTCTACACAGTACGAAATTCAAAAG